TGTATGTATGTATGTATAGATATGTATATATATATATACATATGTATATATGCATATTTGTATATATGTATATGTGTCTATATGTATATATGTATATATGTATATATGCATATATGTATATCTGTATATAAGCTGCGCGAAGACTTCCACAACGATGAGGCTACGGCAGACTGGCCCCGGGTAAGGGATTCACCGGACTGGGGTCCAGCGCGGGCCTCGGGCCTCCTCGAGCGCCCAACAGGGACCGTCATTGTTCAACCCTGTTTAGGGTTTAGGGTTTAGGGTTTAGGGTTTAGGGTTAGCTTCCATGTGTCCTAACCTCCTCATTATCGCCTCCTTATTCAACCCTTCAAAGTAGCTTTTCGGGCTTAGGGTTTAGGGTTTCAGCACCCTGCGGCTCGGAAATAGGTTTAGGGTTTAGGGTTTAGGGTCCTTACAGAAAGGGCTAACGTGCGTTTGTGGTTAGGCTCACGAACCCCAACAGCGCAGACACACCCAAGGCTGGCCAGCCTGAAACGCCCGACGAGTACGAGGCATGAGGGGTCCACTTTGAGTTCGTTAAGGCTTTAGCGCTCAGGATTCAAATTTCAGGGCTTAGGCGTATTCAACCCAAACCCCAAACCCCCAAACCCTGAAAACCCTATACCCTGATCCCTAAACCTGTTCCCTAAAACAAGGGCTAGGACTTCTCAGTTTCGGCTTTAGGGTTTTGCGGTTTTCCGGTTCATTGTGGCTCCTCCGAGGTTCGTACTGGTTCGGGTTCCGTGAGGGCTCGTTACCTTAAAAAGAAAGGTGCTGCGTGTCGGGTGTTTCGGGTTTGGGGTTTAGGGTGTGTTTGAGATTTGGGGTCAGGGGGTGTAGGGTTTAAGGGTTCTACTTGATCCTAGAAGATTTCTGTGCAATGATGGTGTCCCTGGTCGGCCCTAGTCACAGACCTCTTCTAGCAAACATCCTGCTTTGTTTACCCTCGAACCTAAAACCTAAACCCTAAAACCTAAACCCTGAACCCTGAGACCTAAACCCAAAACCCTACACCCCTTTAAGGTGAACCCAACAAGCCGTGAACTGAGGCTGGAAGTTTGTTAAGCCCTAAGTTCAATCCTTCCTTGGAGGTTCATGGGTAGTTCTAAGTAGGGTTGCCTTCAAGGGTTCTGTAGGGTTGAGGGTTTAGTTTAGGGTAAGTGGGTCTATAAGTAGGGCTCCCGTAAAGGGTTCTGTAGGGTTGAGGGTTGAGGGGGAATTTTGGGTGGGGTTATTAGTAGGGTCACTATAGTTATAACCCATACTAGGGTGATTTATACCCCTACTTAAAACTACCCATGAACCTCCAAGTAACCTAACGCTAGGCCATTCTGGACGTTTACGTTGGCCCTAAACCCTAAACCCTAAACCTGAAACCCTAACTCCAGGGCTGAAGCTCTGAACCCCGCTTGTTTTCACTGAGCCCGACAAGGGATTTCAGATGGCAAAGGACCCCTGACACAGACCCAAGCAATAGAGTTCTGAGTAATTAGTAGAAGAGTTTCTCTAACGGGTTTGATCTTGTTTTGTCTGGTTTCATAGGGGTTTAGGAAAAGATTGGAAACTGCGCATTATTTGCTGTCTATCTATCTAATTTCATATTAGTATGCTCCATAACCCGACTCCCCTAAGCGGAGAGCAACCTACGACCATCGGGAGGTCTGCTCGGGTCTATTGTCTCCATGTACCTCCTCAAGAGAAGGTTGATACTGTACCAACCCTAAACCCTAAACCCTAAACCCGTTTTTGGGGCGCGGACCACCCTGCCTTCGGCGAAGGTTTCTCCTCCGTGAGGAGCTTCTTGAAGCCCGGCCTAGAAGTGCAGCAAGCTTCGTGCATGGAGCGGCTGAGACAGGCTCCGGACTACTGGTGGAGGTCGTGACATTTTCGGCGTAGGTCTTGAAAGGGCACAAAGCCATGGACGAGATCTTCCTGAAGTTGGCGATGGACCCTAAACCCTAAACCCTGAACCCTGAACCCTAAACCCTGAAACCCTAAACCCTAAACCCTAAACCGCTGGCTGACCCGAAGATGTCACCGGAGGCCGCCAGGATTCAGCATGGTTTGCGGCGTGAGTTGTCGTATGACATGCCTTTCATAGTTTGACCCTAAGGCCTAAGGCCTAAAGCCTAAGTCCTAAGCCCTAAGGCCTAAAGCCTAAGTCCTAAACCCTAAACCCTAAACACGGAAAAACGGCCCTCAAAAAAAAAGCCTAGCGAAAAAAAACCAGGAGAAAGCCCATAGAGCCTCTTGCAGCTCCATCATCGCCATCATAGTAGGGTTAAGCGCTTTAGGGGTTTAGGGTTTAGGGGTTTAGGGCTTCAGGGTGTAGGGCTTTAGGGATCTCGAGTGTAGAGGTTTAGGGTTAAGGGCTTTAGGGGTTCAGAGTTTAGCGTTTAGGCTTCAGGGCGGAGGGATTTAGGGTTTAGTGCTTTAGGGATCTAGAGTGTAGGGGTTTAGGCTCTAGGGTGTAGGGGTTTGGGGTTTAGGGGTTTAGGGTTTAGGGGTTTAGGGGTTCCTTGACACATCCAACGTCACAGCTAAGTGGATTGGCTTAGACAGAGAAGAACCCTACATGTGGAGTTGAGGAAATATTCAACCCAACACAACTCTAAGCCCTAAACCCTAAACCCTAGATCCTAAACCCTAAACCCTAAACCCTAGGTGTTCATGAACGCCTTCTGTGACCTCCTCTGCGAATCCCAGAAGTACGTGCGAGAGGCACGAAGGAAAGGGATGGAGCTAGAGCTTGGGGTTTTGGGTTTTTGGGTTTAGGGTTTAGGGTTTAGGGTTTAGGGTGGTCTAGTGTTCAGGGCTTTACGGGGTGGCCTGCCTGCCTGCCTGCCCGCTTGGATGTATGTAAGATGTATGTATGCATGTATGCATGCATGTGCGAGCGAGTGCGTGTTTTTGCTTTGTACCACACTTGTGTTCGAAGGGCAACTCTTCGTTCTTGATGCTTCGACCGATCGACTCTATCGGATCTTGACCCGTGGATCAGGGTTTAGGGTTTAGGGTTTAGGGCTTGGGGTTTAGGGTTTAGGGTTTAGGGTTTAGGGCCATGTTCATACATACCGTTGCCATTTGGCAACGGGAGCACTCCGAAGTTTCCTTCCCCCGCCCACCCCAAACGATTTTTTTGCACATATGTTCCTCTGCTTTCAGTTTGCGAGTACGACCGGAAACGGTTTGTCCTCAGTTTTCAGTCGAAGTGCCAGATATCGGTTAAACATGTCACATGAAGTGTCTATACCGCAGACAACGGCACCGATGTGAAAGCAGTGGGAACAAGAGCGGTGTGCCAGGAATGCATGGATCTTGCTTGAAGGAGTTCCTTGTCGTTGAGGGTATTGGGGTTTAGTTTAGGTTGTGTAAGTACAGACACACACACACACACACGCACATATGTGTGTGCGTGTGTGCTGTTTTTTTTTCGCAGCTCTTATGGCTCAGGGCTTGTATGAAGTACTGGCATTTGCAGGTTTTTGCAATTAGCTTGGTTGAAGCATATGAACCCAGTCGAGAGGGCGGTCGGCTACAGATCGCAGATAGCTTAGGCAGGCCACTGGTGCAGTCTTTTCTTGGCGCTTATTGAGTGAAAACCCTAAACCTCAATTAATTAAACCCTAAACCCTAAACCCGAAACCCTAAAGCCTATCATCTTCCAGACAATGCACAAGGCCAACCTCGTAGTCTGCGCTTTCAAGTGCGGCTTCGATAATGAGACAGGGGCCACCCCCCGGAACAGAATTACTAGCTATTACTTAGAACTGATTTGGTTTATATTTTAGATTTAGAATAGTAATCTTTGAACAATACTAATAATCATGTTTGCAAAAATATACCGTAAGACCCCACAGAATCCAAAAATGGGTCCTTGCGGGTTCAGGGCTTCAGGGGGTCTCGAATCGGAGAATCGTAACCATGACCCTAAAGCCTAAACCCTAAACCCTATAAGCCCCAAACCCTAAACCCTATATGCCCTAAACCCTAATCCCTATAAGCCCTAAACCCTAAACCCTATAAGCCCTAAGCCCTAAACCCTTTTGGGCAGGTAAACGAGGGCGAGCGCAGCGTCGTCTCCATGCGAGATATCGGTCGTGCAGCACGGGTCTTCAAGTGGAAACCTGGCCGCAAGAAGGACTTAAGGCTTGACTCTTGCACGAACCCTGAACCCTCGAGGTTGGGGTTTTGGTTTGGGGTCTTGGGCTTAAGGTTTCGGTGGTGGCGGTTTTAGGGTTTTGATCCAGTGCTTATGTTGCCAGTTTCCCCTGGTGGGCGAAGACCTCGCATGGAAGATTTCCGACTGCAAGCGTCGTTTTGGGGCTTAGGGTTGAAGGTATATTAGTTACCTTAACCCCAAATAACTTATATACCTTTTCGAGGACTTATATAGGGAAATCACAGTAAGGAACCCTAAAAAGGTAGGTTCTTTAGGGCCAGGTAGGGGCTATTATATGTCGGGTTGGCACAAGCACAACACCTGAAGCGTATGGGCCACAAGAAGAAGACCGCAGACTCGACCAACCGCGAAAATGCACATAGGACTGGGGACTCAATGCACTTCGACCCCCCCAACCAGACAGAAAAGATGCTTCAGCTCCGACTGCAAGTCAGCCGTCAACACACACACCCAAAGCCATCGGGCACTGACTCATCAGTTTCCGAATGGTGAATGCGAAAACTCATAGCACTTTAGCTCTCGTTCAAGTTGAAGGCTTTGTGGGTTTGTTAGGTTTTTTCTAAACCGAAGCCTAAACCAGAGACCCTAAACCCTCAACCCCAAGCCACTACCCATAGGCCCCAAAGTAGTTCCTTTTTGTGGCTTACATTTAGGATCCTATTAGGGAATCCCCAAAAGGAACTACTGTGGGGCCTATGGGTAGACCCTAACTTACAAAAAGATCAGAGTTTCGAGTTTCTGGCTAAACACTGTGCAGTCTTGTTGCTGCGCTCGGGTTTTTAGGGTGCGGGTTTCAGGATTTAGGGTTTAGGATTGAGGGTTTACGGCTTAGCGTCGGAGAACTTTAGGAATACGGGGCCACGGAGATGGGTTGGGGCCGCTAGGCCCTAAACCCGTGACCCCTAACCCCTTAAACCTCTAAGCCCCAAACTCCTCAACCACAGACCCTGAACCGTAAACCCTTAAAGCACCAACCATCAAAACTTCAGCCCTGAACCCCTAAACCTCCAACCCCTAAACCCAACACCCTAGAGCCCTGTCCCCTCTAGAGCTACGAGCCGAGGTTCTTGACATCCTATGCAAAGTTGCGTGGAGACAAAGAATGCCCTGCTGTGCGTGACGACAAGGTGCAAGCCTCTGTAGCCTGTCGAGGATCTTGAAGAGAAGATTTGGGGCTCCAATTTAGGGTTTAGGGTTTAGGGTTTAGGGTTTAGGGTTTAGGGTTTAGGTTTTAGGGTTTAGGGTTTAGGGTTTAGGGTTTAGGGTTTAGGGTAACCCTACACCCTAAACCCTAAACCCTAAATCCTCGCTCCTTAAGCCCTAAACCCCCAAGGCCTAAACCCATTAATACTGAGGTCTCATGCTTCGAGCCGGAAGCGCTGAAGTCTTCAAGCCTAGAACGGAGCCTTAAGGTTTTAGGAATCATAGGGATTATAGGGGTTATAGGGCCATAGGGTTTAGGGTTTAGGGTTCACAAAAGGGTTTATAGGGTTTAGGGTTTCATATTGGGGTGTATAGGGTTTATGGGGTTGAGGGTAAGAAAGCCTCCTTATCGATGCTCTGCCCTCTAAACCGCGAACCGTGAAGCCCTAAATCCTACAATCCTTATGTAGCAAACCTACGGTTGATGATAGAGATCCTGCATTACCCATAAGGAATATACCATAATTTCCCAAGTTTAGGGTCCTTAAGGTATTGCAGGAGTTAGATCATCAACAGTATGTTTCCTACATAACCGCGAAGCCGTAGCCCCTAGACCCCAAAGAGCCGGTAGAAGTTGCAGGCCCCTCTCATCCACGTCTTTCCGAGAGGGTTTTGGGCGTTAAAGGGTTTGGGGTTCAGGGTTTCAGGGTGCGGGGTTTAGGGAGCTTGCCAGAAGATCTTGGATGCTCCAAGCATCTTTCAGCATGGTTCCTGTGTGTGTCCCAAGCTCCAAACCCTAGGGCTCAAAACCTAGAACTTTCAATCCTAGATCCTCATTCCTATAGAAGCCTTGACTCCTGCATTCCAAGCCTTGCACACTAAATCCGTAATCCTAAGGCAAGCTCGGTAAGCATGGATATCTTGCTGGACGGACAAGTGATCCAAAGCCTTGGATTCCCCTAGGAAGAATCTCTGCAGTGTCGAGTGAAGAGCATAGTTTAGCTTCAGTTGAAGATTTTAAGGTCTACCTAACCCACCCCAAAAGCAAGTAAAATAATTGCCCAACACCTACAAACTGCCGTTATTCTATATGCTTTGAGGGTCCAGGTAGGAGTCAGGGAGCCTGCTTGTGTCTACCAAACGAAACTGCCATCGTTTCCGGTTTAGGGTTTAGGATTTAGGGGGTGTCGAGGTGTGAGCGGGGCTTTCAGTCGAAAGAACGAAAGATTGGGCGTAGGTTCAGGCTGAGCCATGGCTGTGGCTTCAGGTTCAAGTAGGGTTTAGGGTTTAGGGTTTAGGGTTTAGGTTCAATAACTTCAGGTTTTGAGAATATAATACAGGGGTCCTCATCATTATCTCCGGTATAAAATACCCTGCAATCCGACGCCAATTATTGAGGCCCCTATAACTACAGCAGTTTCGGAATTAGCTTTCTGAATCTAGGGTGGGCTAAACCCTAAACCCTAAAAGCCCGAAACCACTGCCCAAAACTGCTCTGAGCTTCAAGAGAGCCATCGCCGGCCAGGATGGAACGCTGAAGATCAACGTTTGCGAAGGGCTCCGTTCGAATATGAGGACTCCAGATCCGTGGAGGGTTTGGGGTTTAGAGTTTAAGGGTTTAGTGCTTAGGAGTTTAAGGGGTTAGGGTTTAGGATTTGGGATTCCGCGGCGTGCAGGGTTTGGATTCGGGGTTTCGGAACGTCTGTGGTGCGCAGTAGTACTTAACTTGCCCTGCTCATCATCCTCTGTTCTACGGGCTTAGCTGGGTTCTGGCGTACCATGCTTGCGTACTGTTTTTTTGGACCTGTTCCTCAAAGGAGCCAGTATTAAAAAAACGTCTATACATTTGTCTCCCTGGTTACTTCCAAGTCCGTTAGGTCTTTCCACACCTTAACATACCAAACCCTAATCTTTTGTAGGATCTCTATAAATTCCATATTCGGGTGTATAAAAAGAGCCTACAAAAAGTAGGTTTTGGTAGGTTAAGGCAGCGACGGACAGCTCTTTTGCTGTTTCCCTCAACCCTAAACCCAAAGCCTACAGGAGTGCACTCATCTTGACGCTGGGCTACTGCCACGACCCCAGTTTCGGCTTTGGGGTTTGGGGTTTAGGGCTATTGGGTTGAGGGTTTCGGGTTCGAGGACTAGGCTGCAAATACTAAAGCCTCAATCGAATCCTAAAGCCCTAGAACCATTATATTTTAGGTGTAATATATGACTTGGAAAGAATACAGCTTAATGGTACAATAATCTTCTTGTAGGAATCTTCTATCTTAACCCTGAACCCCCCCACCAAAAAAGGATCATCCTCGGGCTTCCTTGCAGAGCTCTTAGAATTCAGATGTTCAAACCTTCGGCCGAAACCAAGTAACACCCTGAACCCTAAGCCCTAAGCCCCTAAACCTTAAACCGGGACTAAACCCCCAAAACCCTAAACCCCTAAACCCTAAACCCTAATCCCTGAAGCCGCGACTTTCGGGCACCTGGTCCCGTAGCTTCGAACCTTCGATGATACACCCAGGCTACCACTCTCGTCTCAACCGCAACCAGCGGTGGGGATACCGCAAGAGGCAAGCGGGGAAGGGGGGCAGACTATCCTGGCTTTGGGACTGTAATGATCGGAATGTCGGAAGTCAAGTTAACGCTCCGCCCATGAAAGCCCTAAACCCTAAACCCTAAACCCTAACCCGATAACGAGGCTTAGTCAGCTTTTCTCTCCTTTGTATCTGATGCCTCCGGATACACCCATTGAGTTGCCTTGAAGCGGTAGACATCCGGACCCCCTAAGCCATCTATAGCAGAAGCCCTTGAATAAAGCCCCTCGAAATCCCTGCCATGGTAGGGTGCCTTTGCCTGGCTGCATGCTTGGCGATGGCTGTATGGTTCTGAACCGGGAATTAGATCCCCTGATCCCCCCTAAACCCTAAACCCTAAACCCATCCTGGAGTATCTCCTCTGCTCTGGCGCAGGTTGTGCGAGACCTGGGAGAGACTCAGGACGTCTGCACCTGTCTGAGCTGGGCTTGAACTGTCTGGTGCTTAGTAGGGAATGGGGGAATGGGTCTACTATAAGGGACCCTAGGGGACTATCATAGGGATCCATTCCCCCATTCCCTACTAAGCACCAGATAGTGAACGTCTTTGTTTCTTAATCTCAGTATAGAGTTTTGGATTTCGGGTTTAGGGAAAGTTCAGGGTTTAGGATCTGCTCTTAATCTCGGTAAAGGGTTTGTGGTTTAGGGTTTAAGATTTTAGTATAATGTGTTCTTAATCCTAGTATAGGGTTTAGGCCAGCTAACCTTTATCCTTGAGACTTAGACCCTAAACCCTAAACCCTAAACCAATTAGAGGCAAAGAGTCGGCTTAATTGTTTTCGAGTTGTCGGAGGGTGCAAGGATCAAACTGCCTGCTTTCGGGTTCTGCACTTGGGAGTTTCCGAAAATAAGGGGTACCTTACTTTGGGGTCCTTCCAAAAAGGATCCTACTATTTGGGGTGCTATATTCGGGTCCCCTATTTTCGGAAACCACCACTTCAGGCATGCGGCAGAAAGTCTGCTACAGGGCGGGTTCCAAGAATTTGAGGTTCCTTCTGTGGGGTTCCTCATGATAACCGTTCTATGATTCAGGATTTCCTCACCCTAAACCCTAAACCCTAAACCCTAAACCCTAAACCCTAAACCCTAAACCGGAGGGTCCCAAGTGTTCGGAAAGTCCATCCTCAGCTTGTGAGGGGTTACGAGTTATCTCAGGACCCCAATCCGTAAGCGCGAAATCACCAAACCCAAGCGGTTTAGGGTTTAGGGTTTAGGGTTTAGGGTTTAGGGCTACCTAAACCTTGTTGACAGCTTTCAATGAATCCGTTTCTAAGATCCTTCGAAGCCATTTAAAGGTCTACATACGCCATTGCAAATCTTCTTACGCAAGCCCCCTAAACCCTCAACCCTAAACCCTAAACCCCTAAACCCTCAACCCTACACCTCTAAACCCCTAAACCCTAAACCCTAAACCCTGAACCCTCAACCGTAAACCCTAAACCCTCAACCCTAAACCCTAAACCCCTAAACCCTCAAACCCTAAACCCCCAACCCTACGCCAGGAGCAAGGATGACGGAGCAATGGAGTGGCTACGCCTGGAAGCTTTGAGAAGATTTAGTCTTCCCACTCAGGTAGGGGCTCGACGGTTTATATGGTTTAGGGTTGAGGGCTTTAGGGTT